ATTATGAAAAGCTCTTTACACCTTAAATTCAATGCCACACAAATTCTTAATCCCACCAAACACACTACCACTGAGTCTATTCTGACTCATAGTGACACTATAGGACAGAGTAGAATTGTTCCCTAGGGCTTCTAAGTCTGTAAAGCTTTACAAGAACAAACTGCCTCATATTCCTACCAAAGAGCAGCTGGTGGGTTTGAACTACCAACTTCTTGGTTAGTAGTCAAAACTTAATGCATATTGCTACTAGGGCAAAATCATAATACTTAATAAAAAATTAATAACTTGTATGAACAGCAGTTATTTGCAGTATTTTTTCTTGTCCCTCTTCTATCCAGTGGTTAATACTCACCTCTCATGAAAACGTGCCAGTTACGTGGATCTGGGGTGGCTAATAAGTCCCAAGTTTAAAGCAAAAAGATACAAGCTCTGGTAAAGTGGAATGAGGCCCTTGACGGCCCTGCTGGCATTGATGCATGTGGCGCAGATAAGGCTTGAGAGCAGCTTCCCACTCACAATGGCTCCATCAAAGAGAGGCCCAAAAAATGGAATCTGTTGATTCAAAATGGAAAACCACTTAATATCCAAAATTCAGTAAACCCATAAATAGGAGAGCTGCTGATTGAATTGTAATGATCAGGTAGAGTTGTCACCACAAAGTAGAAATTGAACTTAACAGGACACAGGTCAAGAACGTTCAAGTTAGGTGAAATACGATTGCTCCATTCTGCTTCTGTACTCTAACTCTTCAGTAAAAGTTTCATGATAAACTATTACCAGATTATTCTTCCCCCAATCCCTGGGTTGTCATTTGCAGAAATGGCATCACTTTTTTTGAGTACCACATAATGTGCACAAATATAGTATCTCACTATATAACTTTAGCCTTGTACATTACTCAGTACTGGAATTGACAATGTTCCTGCCTTGATCCTGATGTATATTAACAAAAAAAAAGCCATTAGCATTATTTTTAAATATCACATTAATTTTCTTTCGTAATACATTTATCAGATATTCACCTACTTTGTCAGATTTATTTATCCTTTAACAGTTGAAGCATAAACAATGGCAGTCTTCACTTTCAATGTTAGATAATGTTAGATATTCATTGTGTTTCAAATTACTTTGCTTTCTCATGGGAAAATAAAAGCCCAGGCAAAAACCTTTGATACTTTTCACATGTTAGTCCTGCAACACAATTTTAATATAAAAGTGTTACTGAAGTTGAACAACTGATGTGGGCAAAGAGTGGTTAATAAGGGTGATGTTCATATAGCTAGCCTTGAAAGAGCTATGATTTTAATCCATTGTTAAATCCATTTTAATACCTAGCTACTATTTCTTTCTTATAGTATGCAATGACTTCTTCATAAACAAATTGAAAAATTTCACACTGAATATTGTCTTGTAGTTTCTTATTATAACCCCTTATTTCAAGTCTTTTGTACAATACATTGTTACCTGTTCCAGCATAAAAACTATTTGAAACCAGCATGCAGTGTGCATATGCAACCATGGTAATCAATACTAAATGCAACTTCTTTCAGTTGGCTTTCTAACTCATAACTACTCTATAGTTATCTAAAATGGGACAACCATACTCTACATCATAGCCATCATATAACTGCCCTTCTTTAGCTAAATCACCCATATTAATGTATTTCAGTCCTGATCTTGATGCAAGTTCTTTGTTTAAAGTGTTTTTCCCCCCTAAGCCCTGGTGTACCTGGCCACATGCCCTGATTAGTGAGCAAGGGCTGTATATTAAATTTTAAATAAGATGACTAAATGCCTGTGAACTGATTTCTACCATATGGATAATTGTTATGCATTAAATTATGTACTCCAAAAATATGTTGGAATCCTAACCTCCGAATCAGTTGGATATAATCTAATGTAATCTAACACAATTACTTTATATCTAATGCACTATAATGAAACCATCATCCACCAGGCAATCTAATGTAATGTAACCCATCCATCAATTGAAGTTGTAAGTGTACGGTGGATCCTCAACCTAATCACTTCTGAGTTATGCCATCAAACTGGTTCTGACTTATAGAGACTCTATATAAACAGAACAAAACATTGTTCTGTCCCATACCATCCACACAATTGTTCTTATGTTTAAGCCCATCTATTCAGGCACCATGTCAATCTGTCTTGTTGAAGGTCTTCCAATTTTCCACTGCCCCTCTAGTTTACCAAGCATGATGTCTTTCTCCAGCGACTGGAGATTGGTTTCTGATAACATGTTCAAAATACTTGATATGAAATCTCTCCAGTCTTCCTTCTAAGGAACATTTTTTGTTTTTGGTTTTATCCCCAACAGTTTTATTGTCATATAATTCACATATCATACAGTTTAATAGCTTAGTCACATCAACAAGAGTTGTACAAGCACCACCACAATCAATTTTAGAGCAGTTTTATCTTTCTTCGAATCCATCGTTATTAGCTCCCCATTTCCCCCCACCCTCCCCTGCCATATCCCTAAGGATGTATTAATCCAGTTATGGTCTCTAAAGATTTACCAATCTTGGATTTCATATAAAGAAAAACATTAAAACAAAACAAAAATTTAAAACTATCAAGAATAGCAAAGTAAAACAGATAAGACCTCAATTGAAAAGAAAGCCAGAAATATTAAGAATGAGAACAAATTTAACCACTTAAATTAGACAGATTTAACTACTTAAATTTATTCTCATTTTTAATATTTCATAAGGGAGATCAGATGATAGGAGACTAAATTTTAGCCTAACTGTGTCTTTGACAATCCCCTTTACATTGCATTCTATACATTAGCAAGGCTATTCATATCCTTGGTCCATGTCAGGGAGGATTCGCCAGGGGCTTAGTCCACATGTATTTCCCCATCACTTAAAAAATAAACTTCACTAAACTAAACTAAAACATCTTTAAAAGGGATCAAAAGGGAGATCAAATGATGACATTACATTTTTTACCTAATTCTGTTTGTCATAATTGGCTTTAAAATGCTCTCTGAATGTTAACAGGGCTGTTCACATCCCTCAACTGCAAACCAGGTGTTCGCAATTTAAGATCTGATGCCATTCCTTCCTTTAGATTTAGATTATATTATTTACAATCCTTGGATCACACAGACTGGTATCCTTCTTCCATGTGGATGTAGTGGACTACTACTACTTAGATGGCTGCTTATTTGAAAGAAAGCCTTTAAGACCCTTAGACTCTATCTATTCTTTCTGATAGCAGGGAACCATCTAGTTTCTTCACCACATGTTGCTATAACATCCTTATCTTCAGTGATCTCTTCATGAAGTCAAGCATCAAGCAGGGCCATGAGAACTAATTGTTCTTTGATTGGGGCCAGTATTAAGTGCAAGCCCCAAATCCATTCATGAAGCTATGGTTTATATAGGTTTTGGGTTCACCAGAGACATTATTATCATTTTATGTTAGAGAACATTATCAATCAACCCTTGGGGCATCACTGCCATCAAATCAAGGCTGACTTTTAGGAACCTTAAAGGGTGGGGTAAAACCCCTGTAAGTCTCTAAGGAACATTCCTGCTATACTTCTTCCAAAAACATTTATTCTTTTGGAAATCCATGGCACTTTCAGCATTCTTTGACAGCATCGTAATTCAAATGCACTGATTCTACTTTGGTCATCCTTATTCGGTGCTCACCTGTCACATGCATATGATGTGATTGAAAATACCATGGCTTGGGTCAGGCACACCTTAGTGTTCAAAGTAACACCCTTGCTTTTCAACACTTGAAAAGATCTTGTGCCACAGAATTAACCAATATAATGTTAAATGATCTCTTGACTGCTGCTTCCATGAGTCTTGATTGTGAATCCAAGCAAGATGAAATCATTGAAACTTCAAGCTTTCCTCTGTTTACCATGATACAGGTAGAGAAACAGATACAAATATAAGTGGGAAATATATTGAATCTGATGATGGAGATAAACAAATCTACATGAATGGAGCTACAAAGATTGCTGCTATTAGACGGTGAAATAGACAAAGATAGAATTCCCCCTAGAGCCACACTCCATATTAATATTTCTGGCCCCCAGAACTACAAGAAAATAACATCTTGTTCTTCAAGTCATCCACTTGTAGTATGTCTGTTTTAGCAGTATTAGGACACTAAGCCAGTGATCCATAAAATATTGGTGTCTGTTTGGGCTTCCTTTAAATTTTTTTCCTATCATAATTTCATAACGATATTCTTTAATATGGAAATTCTAAGCTTCATGAGGTCAAGTATTTGGTCTGAATTATAACTCTTGTATTCTTTAAATGAATGTTTATTCAAAGCCTACCAAGTGGAGACCCAGGGTGGTACATAGAGGTAACATGCTCAGACACATGCTCAGCTGCTAGCTCAAATATTAGAGATTTGCATTCACTCAGAGGATCATCAGAAGAAGGGTCTGGATATCTACACGTGAAAAAAACAGTCATTTAAAATCTATGGGGCATGATTTATTTGACACAGGGCCACCATGAGTTGTAATCAACTTTTAGTTTTGTTTGGTTAATCATGTGACAACACTATTATATTCATTAGTGAACAGTACAAAAATCCCTGCCTTCATTGAACTTACAAGTTACTGAGGGTTTCAGAGAATAAACAATATAAATATAAATAAATAAAACATATGATACGTTACATAGTACATATACATAAGATGAAAAACAAAGCAGGGAGAAGTAATAAGTGTTGGAAGTGGATATATATATATATATATACACATACATACCATGGGAACTTAATCTGGATGCTGATCAGTCTTTTTATATTCAGCTGTGGTTAATGTGAATACTACCCCCTTGTGATAGTAACAGGAATGTAAAAAACAACAAAGAACCCAGGGACAAGGGAACAATGAGTAGTTCAAAACCACTGGCAGGGAGGGGATGGGAGGACTGGTAGGGAGTGACCAAGGGCAATGTAACTGAGAGGAATTACTGAAACCAGAATGAAGGCTGAACATGGTAGTGCGCCAGGAGGAAAGCATAAGGAAATAGAGGAAAGGAGTAGGAGGCAAAGGGCATACATAGAAGCCTAAATACAGACATGTACATATGTAAATATATTTATGATTATGGGGGAAATAGACCTATGTGCAAAAATTTATAGGTTTATTAGTAGGATAGCAGGTGGACATTGGGACTCCTCGTGTGCATTCCTTTAATACAAGAGCACCTTGCTCAGCTAAATGGTCATTCCATGATACCCACCTTCTCAACATGATCGCTGAAGACAAACGTGTGCATAAGCAAATGTGGTGAAGAAAGCTGATGGTGCCCAGCTATCAAGGGGTCTTAAAGGCTTGAAGGCAAACAAGCAGCCATCTTGTGCAGAAGCAATAAAGCCCACATGGAAGCAGCACACCAACATGAATGATCACGAAGGGTTGAGGGGACCCGGTTTCAAGCACCAAAGGTGGGGGCAGGGAGGGGGACAAAAAAATCATAAAGCACATGAATGATGTGCTTTACACAATTGATGTATGTATGGATTGTGATAAGAGCTGTATGAGC